TGAACCGTCCTCGTTCATAGTAGATGATGCAGTGACCTTCACTAGATACTGAAATTAAGCGAGGATACAAGCAGTTTTCTGTTCCTTCCAGGGCTCTCAGCAAATCTCCAGTAATTGTGTGTACCAGACAAGGACCTTCTGTATATGAAAACATCATATATCATACATTTGCTGCTTATACAAACGATATACGTTGTGCACAAAGGCAACACATAATACACATTTATATCATGTTAGTCCTGCTTAGATATAAGAAGATGAAATGTTTGCTTAAAGAATTTAAAATACACAACAAAAAAGGAAATGCAAGAGCTAGGATATTTAGGAGACCACACTATAACTGCATTACTCCAGAGATATTCTAATATGAGATTTTAATGTCTTTTTTTTTTTACTGCTGACAAAAGAAAAAAATCAGCTATGAAATCTACAGTGTATGTTTTAAGATGCCAAAGTAGACTACTTCTATTTCAAGATCTATGCAAAAACCTCTTTTGAAAGTTAGATCTGTGTTCCTACTAAGAAAAAGAGTCTCTTCTGTGATAAATGTAATGAGTCACAGTAAATACTAAATGTTTTCTTTTATGAATCACAGGATACTCCTGGACAGCACAGTAATCTCTTCCTTATACAACTGGCTCAGGACCCTGAAAGTAAATTCATACTGGCAGACTCGGCTACCTCACATTAAGCCCTTCTAACTTCTCTGAAATTCATACAGGAGCTGGGTTTGCCCAGGTAGAATGAATCACAGCATCAGTGCATTCACCTGCGAGCTCTCTGCCACGGGTTTTTGTCTGTGTTTGCATAAAGCCTTATGCAGAGAGACCTCAAGCCTGACTGGACCCTTGGGATACGACTGCAATGGGATTAATTTATTTTCTCAAACAGTTGAGTTTCAGCTTTGGAAACACTGAAGTGGCAAAATGTTCTAAGACATGATGCCTCCACCTTTAAAATAATTACCATGTTAGATTTAAAAAATAAAGAAGTGTAATACCTTCATAGCTGAGTGGTCATGGACAAGAAAAGGCACAAAGACCTGACTTAGGAGGCTACTGTAAAGACATACAGACTGACCGCTCTCTTTTGGGTTTGTTGGATAAGAACGTGCAAACATCAACCTGACACACAGGATTTTCCTCAGAGGAGTCCTATATGTGCTGTCTTCCTGCCTCAGCAGGTTCTCGAGTGCTGTGCGTGTTATCGCAGTGCCACAGCCAGCTCCGGAGGGACAGCCTCCCCACGAGGGAGCACAGGCAGCACGCAGGCAGGACAGCAGAGCAATGCAGCAGTGCCTTGAAATGCAAGCTGAGAAACAGGAAAGGGCTTGGAAAGGATAGAAACTGAAGAAGAAGCTTTAAAACAGGCATCTGCTGGAAACCAGCAATAAAAAAGGGATTTTCTCTCTGTATTTATATGGCATATAGTATGAAAAGGAAGAAAATGAGAAGAGTAACTCAGGGGACTGACTGGGCCTCTGTTTCTCTTGGTCAGTTATAAGCATATTCTGGATTTGATGTAAAAGTCTTTGGTCCTCAAGCCACCTTTATCTCTAAAAATACCTAAGTTACCAAAGCACCATATACTTAATGTAGCAGAAGATAACTGAGTACAGATTCCAGCTATTTTAAGAAAAGGAAATGTTTGAAAAGATGGAAAGGGTACACTATTAAGGTAGTAAATGTGTATAAGGCTGCCTTAAAAGATAAGAAATAGCAATGCTGCAAGAAAAAACTTTAGGTTCAGCATCATTGTACATTTTTTCATGTGTCTTGACTTTGCCTACGACTGTTATGTAGTACGTCATTACGAGAGTTAATGACCCATTAGGATTTCCTGCTAAAAATGCCTTTACTCAGAAGTTTCACACCCCGCTTTGAAAATAAATGTTGAGCTTCAAGGCAGTATAAAAGATGATAACCCAGGAGTTCAGCTGTGAGCAAAACTGCACAGAACAAGCACCACATCCTTCTTACCCTCAGAAGTAGCAAACTTTTTATAAAGGAGTACAAGAATGTCTACGGGCATGGACATTGCTCTAGTCAGAGAAAGCAAGCAGCTAGATGAGGATGTAGGAGTGAAGTGGAAATGAGATGGGGGGATATATAAGGAAGAAGAACCTTAAGAAAGGACAAGGGTAATAAAAAAAGGAACTAAAAAGGGAGAAGAGATAATGTAGCACAAAAGAAAGTAAAAGCGAAGGAGGAGGAGAGGGAGGCAAATAGGAAAGGAAAAGAGAAAAAGACATGCAGTTTGCAAAATTAAGAAAAGAAGCTGAATGAGAGAGGGCAGTGGGGAAAGAAAAGTGGACATGGAGTTAAGGGGAAAAGGAGAAGGTGGGCAGAACAAGTGAAATAGAATAAATAAAGGAGAAACAGAATAAGGAAAATGAAGCACACACTCATTAAGGCAGGTACTTTATTCACATTAATTACGAGTTATACAGGAGACTGCTGCAGGTTTGGAAAGGTATTTTGAACATTTGTATTAGAAATGACTGGATACTCTGGATTCCATAGATAAGTAACAAGGAGAAAGTGTGAACAGGTGGCTCAAAAAGTTTAATAGAAAAAAGGTGACAACAAACGTGCAAACGTCTCATCATTTGGACCCCACTACCAAAAAAGAAAACCTACTGGAAGAAATGCTGTCCACAGATCTAAACCCAAGTAAAATGGCCCTGCTTCCTTCACCCAGGAGACTGAGGTCAGTCCTACAAACCGCTATTCAATTCAGATCAGGGTGGAGAACTTAGAGCTGGCCCTCCCCTAAATACAGGTCTCTATCAACAGGTTTCTTCAAAATCAGCAGATGTCATTATGAACTACTGTATAAATTTTTATCAACTACTCTTCCAGATCTGGGGGGAACAGTAGCACAGGCTGGCAATTGGAAGGAAAAAATCAACCTGATTTGTGTCTAAACATTGTATGTCCAGAGCATAAGTATGCAATGTTCAGAGTAAGCTGTTGTGGATTCCCCCAGAAGTACAACACATTTTAGTAGAGGTGACTTTGGATAATTAAAGCATATGTGGCTTGAGGGAAGACTGAGAAATACCACTAAAAGAGACCCTAAAATGTTAAGACTTAAATCATAAAAACATTTCTGACCTTTAGCACCACTGATAACGAGTCCCAGCTCTGCACAGACCGACACGCAGACAACTTCATGGTCATGACCAGTTAGAACAGCGCGAGGAGCTGGATAATCACCTGTTAAAAGAAAAGAAAAAAAAAAGATTAAAAAGGAAACAACAGAGACAAACCAGACATGTTTTATCGACAAAAGAACTTTGCTGTAATCTGCCTTAAATCAGTAAGCATCAGAGAGGTTGGGTGTGCTGAAATATCTCATATTTAGCTTTCTGAGAAAAATACATTCAGATATGGATGTATTCAATGGATGCATTGAGTGCA